GCTTCTCCCATTTGAGTCTGGGTCCCTAGAGACTCGCTGGAGCTCAGAGTCTGAGGCTCCCTCCGGATTGAAACAGACAACCGCGCCCTCAGCCACCAGCCCGCGCCGCGCGCACTCCGCACCTTAGTATTTTACTTCAGCACTGTGCCTCCTCTGATTCTCGGTTCCTCCTAGTTGTAGAACTTCCACTCAGCCAGCCTTCCTATGGTTCTGGATGATGTCCGTTCCGTCTTTTAGTTGTATTTTTGAAGTGGTTGTTCGAGGCAGCAAACTCCGGCATTAACCTATGCCGCCATCTTGGTTCTCTACCAGATTTATTTTTTAAATGTTGTAAAACTTCAGTTTCTTTTAAAAGTCACTGCCACTGTTTTTTAATAGTATTATTGAATAATTGGTGAAGTTTTACTTTATTTGAAGTGTGTGAAGTTTATTTTCTATAAGTTTTTTCATTAAAAGGGACTAATTAAAAATGAGTAAAACTTAGAAAGATGGAGAAAATCAGTCTTCGGGTTGCAATAATAATGAGCTTTTCATCTTAAGAGAGTCGATTTTTGTTTTTTTGCAGCCAAAGCCTTCTACCACCCCAACTTCGCCTCGTCCTCAAGCACAACCTAGCCCGTCCATGGTGGGTCATCAGCAGCCAACTCCAGTTTATACTCAGCCTGTTTGTTTTGCACCAAATATGATGTATCCAGTCCCAGTGAGCCCAGGCGTGCAAGTAAGTCATAGAACTTGATGTTCACTTACTCTCCTTGGTTATTTGTAGTTGACAGCTGGTGACTTGAAGCAGCGGTGGCATAACAGAAGTATTTGAAAAGGGGCGACGCGCAGTGGTGTCGTGTGTTGTTAGTGTGAGGAGCTAAGTCTGAGAATGTTCCTGGTGAGGAAGATGATATAGATTTACTGTAGTTTGGGGTTTGTGGGTGTAATTTTTTTTTTTTTAATGACTCAGAATTAGGAAACCTCAGGCCTAGCTCTCTAGCAATTTACAGTTGAGAGAATGGTAAAATGTGTTATTATCTTGAGAGCCTAATTTTCCTTTTTTTTTTTTAAATCCCTCAGCCTTTATACCCTATACCTATGACGCCCATGCCAGTGAATCAAGCCAAGACATATAGAGCAGGTAAAGGTGAGAATAATCCTGCCTGTGTTTGCTTGTAGTCTGCATGATGCATGTATTAAGTAACTCAGTTTATAATGAAGAAATACTTGTGGTTCAGCTTTGACTTTTGATGATCAGCATTGCATAAGGTATTCAGATGCGTTATTTACTAACAAAATGGGAGGAGAAATATTTATCAGTTGTGATTATTCAGGTTCTTCAAAAAAATAACTGACTTTTGCAGTTTTCAATGTTAAATTTAAAAAGAGTGTTTGCTAAATTAATTTACCAAGGTTCCTGACATTTTTATTTTATACTAACATATAATTTCCCCCCAGAATCCAGAATTTCTTTTAAAGCACTGGGCAGCTCATTTTAGAAACCATCAAAATCCCACTAGAAGGGTGTTTCCTCATTTTTAAAATGAGTGTTTTGCTTCATAGACAGAGGCAAAGGGGGTGGTGGGTGGAGGTAGAAGAGGGTAAGGGGGGGATAAATGGAGATGGATGGAGACTTGACTTGGGGTGGTGAACACACAATACAATATATAGATGATGTGTTATAGAACTGTACCCCCCAAATCTATATAATTTTATTAGCCAATGTCACCCCAATAAATTCAATATGAAATTTAAAATGTTATATAATCTAGTATTATATGCTTGTGTGATTAAAGAGCCTTCATAGAAGAAAACATTTATCTATTAACGCTGAAAAATGCCTGGAGGGCCTCCTTTTTTGAGGAGGTAATTGAGGATAATTAATAGCTATAATTTTACTGAGAAACAATAGAAAATTTAGTGATTTGTATAAAAGAGACATATCTCAATGCCTTCTCCCATCATGTTTTAACTCTCATGACATAAAAATTTCATGTCTTACATTAATAAGCTTTCCTCAGTATTTGAAGTAATTGTACTTTTGTGGATGCTGATAATTTAAACTTTTAATGGTTTTTGTTTGTTTTTACACATATGATATCCTTTATCTTTGCTTCAAAACACTGGATCCTGTTGAAGTTTTACCTAGTTATAGGATTAAACTTATGCTGAGGGCCTGAAAATTTTAGGGAAGAAAAGTGTTTTTTAGTGCCATTTTGAATGAGGTTAATTTTAAGATGTTCATATATTGCCACCTGGTGTTGCTATTTTAATCATTACTTAAAGCAATGAAATGGGAATGTTTTTATGTTAAAACATAAAGGATTATTGGAGTGGAAGCCAGCACTACAGTGCAGCTCTCTGGTGGGAGAGGTGCGCTTAATTCTGAAGGCCCTGTAATAGAGGAGAAATTATATATGCCGAGGGCACTAATAAGATAGAACAGGCACTGCAAAGAGCATCAGCGGTAAACAGGTACTGTGCTAAGAAGATAGGGGATGACTAGATACCGGCTTTGTCCATCATTCAGATTCTACTATTAAGATTTTGTGCTCTGGTTGGTTTGGCACAGTGGATAGAGCGTTGGCCTGCGAACTGAAAGGTCCCAGGTTCGATTCCGGTCAAGGGCACATGCCCGGGTTATGGGCTCGATCCCCAGTGGGGGACTTGCAGGAGACTGCCGATCCATGATTCTCTCTCATTGTGGATGTTTCTATCTCTCTCTCCCTCTTCCTTCCTCTCTGAAATCAATAAAAAAATATATATATATTTAAAAAAATAGATTTTGTTATATTTACTTGAGCTGTGCTTTGTATCTTTGCATATTTAACACAAAGCGCAGACGTCATGCCATTTCATTCATACTCAGTGTCTGTCTGCTTAAAGTATGGAAATCTTTTTTAGATATTTTAAGATAGCTCAGCTGATTAAGGGGTCAGGTAGTGATAGCCTGATTCTCTCCTCCCCAATTGTAAAGTTTTCTATTAATTTTTTATCCAATTCATTAATGATTGACGCTTAACATCATTTTTTAAAAATTAGGGGTGTGGGTCTCAAATTTTCTTGTGCATCAGAATCACTGGAGTATTAGTTTAAAACACAAATTACTTGGCCCTTTCCCCCAGAGTTTCCAGTTTAGTCTGTTTGGGGCATAGCCTGAGAATTTGCATTTCTCGTGCAATTTATAAAACCATTTTCCAGGTGAGGCTGCTGATCTGGGACTGCTATACTCTGAAAACCACTATAATTAGGAGTTTGAAAATGGTGTATTCTTACATTTCTTCTCCACTTACTAGCTAGAATCATTTTGTGAGGGACTCTTCTTTTCAACAAAGGCTATTTGATTATCCTGAAGAGTTTGTACAGAAAAGTTAGGGTAAATGCTTACAATTAAGTGCTGAAAATGGGCCTAAGTGCCAGTTTTCAGTGGGGAGTTGGTGCCCTTGTTACTTTCAATAGTGTCCAGTGAAAATGTTTTTGGGGTGGGTTTGTTTGTTTGCTTAAGGATGGATGGAGCTCTCATCCCCAACCCTGTTTTATTCTTATTTTAAAAAAATTATGAATGCTGCATAGGTTTTCATATACTTTTGTGTATTCATTGTGTTTGAGTCAGTTGATTATCCTTCTTACTGCTCCCATTGATTGTCCTTTGACAAATGGCAATCCCTTCACATTGGCTCCCAGGTCCTTTTAGTGCTCATCTTTTTCTTTTTCTTTTTTTAAAATATATATTTTTTTTAATTTCAGAGAAAGGGAGAGGGAGATAGAAACATCAATGATGAGAGAGACTCATTGATCAGCTGTCTCCTGCACACCCCCCACGGGGGATCAAGCCAGCAACCCAGGCATGTGCCCCTGACCGGAATTGAACCCAGGACCCTTCAGTCCGCAGGCCAATGCTCCTCTATCCACTGAGCCAAACAAGCTAGGGCTAGTGCTCATCTTCTTCTTCTTCTTCTTCTTTTTTTCTAATATATTTTATTGATTTTTTACAGAGAGGAAGGGAGAGAGATAGAGTCAGAAACATCAATGAGAGAGAAACATCGATCAGCTGCCTCCTGCACACCCCCCACTGGGTATGTGCTCGCAACCAAGGTACATGCCCTTGACCGGAATTGAACTTGGGACCTTTCAGTCCACAGGCCGACGCTCTATCCACTGAGCCAAACCGGTTAGGGCAAGTGCTCATCTTCTTTACAAATAGTGCTTATCTTCTTTACAAATAAAGTATCTGAGGTTAATCTTCAAATCTTAAACCCAAATCAGTATTCCTCCAAGGAACCCTGATTCATTTTGCAGGGAAATAGTATGTAGAAACCATTTTCTGGTCATTGGATATGCTTATTGCTATTGAATTATTGCTTCTGAGCCTTTTCAGTGGACAGACCTGGGGACTACCACTTTTTTTTTCTTTTAAAAAATTCAGAAACCCATATTGATTATCTAATTCAAGTTAACTTTGCAAGGTTTTTACTCTCTCTGCTTGCATCTTATTCTCTTACACCAAAAACTGGTAAAAATAATAACTCCATTATCTATCTTTCAACAAATTACTGCAAAGCTTAGTTGTCTAAAACAACAAACATATTATTTCATACAGTTTCTGAGGGTCAGAAATTTAGGAGTGGCACAGCCTCTCAGTGTCTTGGGAAGCTTCAGACAAGATGTCTGAATGTTTAATTTTTAATTTTAAAAAGGATGGTAAACTTGACTAGCTTTTTAAATTTGTTTTAAAATATGAGGGTCATAATATGTATCAAAAGTAATAGTGATAACTAAGCTTAATTAGACAAACTTTCACTTGATAAAAATGATACTCGATTTTTGGGTGGCTTTTCTATTCTAAAAGATGCTTTTTTGAGCATTGGTGGGTGGCTCAGTTGGTTGGAATGTCATCCAATACTCCAAAAGGTTGGTGGGTTTGATTCCCAGTCAGGGCACGTACCTAGGTTGTGGGTTCAGTCTCTGATTGGGGCAAACACAGGAGGCAGCATGTTGATGTTTCTCCCTTACACTCACTCACTCTCTCTCTCTCTCTCTCTCTCTCTCAAATCACTAAACATATCCTGGTGAGGATTTTTTTTAGAAAGATGCTTTTTTGATATGGGAAATCTGAGAATTAAATTCAGGAAAATATTACTGTATTGGTTTTCAAGTTTGCTCTTCTAAGTAGATAAAATGTATATAACTGGTTCTCCTAAATTTCAGCAACAATCATATTTTTAGCAAAAAAAAATTCAAATATTTAAAATAAAAACCAAATTTTATCTCTAAACTAGCAGCTACTTACATTAATAGTTCTGATGACTTTATGAACATACTAAGTTATACTTTTGTACCTCATACCTATTGTAAGCAGTGGTTCATGATTCCTTCCCTCAAATGGCTTGTTTAACATCATAGCATAAACCCATCACAGAAAACAGTCAGTGTTGCAGTAGAACGAGAGGGAGAGGTACAGAGCTTGCAGCTTGATTCCTTTAGCGGGCGCTGGGAAGGACATTATAGAGAAAATGGCATTTGAGCAGAATTCTTTTTTAAAAATATATTCCATTGATTTTTTTACAGAGAGGAAGGGAGAGGGATAGAGAGTTAGAAACATCGATGAGAAACATCGATCAGCTGCCTCCTGCACACTCCCTACTGGGGATGTGCCCGCAACCAAGGTACATGCCCTTGACCAGAATCAAACCCGGGACCCTTGAGTCCGCAGGCTGACGCTCTATCCACTGAGCCAAACCGGTTAGAGCTTGAGCAGAATTCTTAACTGAAGGGCCATAGGCAGATATCTGTGTGGAATAATAAAAGATATGAATTAATTTTTAAAAAGAGCTATTATTTGGAAACTTGCTACAAGATAGTGTGTGATTCTGTGTTTGGGAAAGATTAGGAAATTGTGGGAGAATTCAGTGGTGGGAAATGAAGAAAGATGGAGTTAAGATTAGTGTTGGGTGTATTTTGGCTTTTTGGTGTATGCCTGTTTTTCTTTGAATAAATCCATTGCCCTTCTCTAGCAAGTGGCATAATTTGGTGTTATAAAACAGGGGTTATTTGAGAAATAGTATGAAGGAAACACTTCATAATGTGATCAAGTTTGGAGACTCATCATAGAAGGTCTCTCTAAGGAAGTTACTTTCAAGCTGACACCTGAAAGACGAGTCAAAATAACCAAAGCTGGGAACTGGGGGGTTGGTGTTTGAGGTTGAGGAATAGCACGTATGATGGCCAGACAACCCAGAGTAGCTTTCGTGGGCGTCGGGTGATACAACCGGCATTGGAGAGGCAAGCCGGATGGTCGTTCCTGCAGAGCCTTGTGGACCATGTGCATGTGTTTGTGCCACGCGATGCTGTTTTCTTACACTGGTATCTTCTGCAGTACCAAACATGCCCCAGCAACGGCAAGACCAGCATCATCAGAGCACCATGATGCATCCCGCCTCAGCGGCAGGCCCACCAATTGTGGCCACCCCACCAGCTTATTCCACACAATACGTTGCCTATAGTCCTCAGCAGTTTCCAAATCAGCCTCTTGTTCAGCACGTGCCCCATTATCAGTCTCAGGTAAGGCTGATGGGACTCATAATTTTTGTTCATTTAAATAACTTCTAATTTCAACTTTTAATATGGTAGAGGGGTTTGGGTTTCCCTTTATATCTGGTGCTTTTTGTTATGCTGTGGTTGATAGTTAAGGATGGGGGTGCTTTTTAATGTATATTAGAAGGTTGTTGGTCATTTTAAATATTTCAAAAGAAATAGCCAAGAAAAGTTTAGATTTTTCAGAGTTGTTTTCAGAAACCTGGACACCGTGGGGTTAAGACACGTAACTAAAATCTGCTTGAGCGAGTCTGTTTGGTATTTGAATGTGTGCTCTTTATTTTGTCTTTGAACGCAGCATCCTCATGTCTACAGTCCTGTAATACAGGGCAGTGCCAGGATGATGGCCCCAGCGGCCCATGCCCAGCCGGGCCTCGTGTCTTCCTCAGCTGCTCAGTACGGGGCTCACGAGCAGACACATGCGATGTATGGTAGGAAGCACTTCGTTTGTCTTTTTCAATGTGTGACTATTCTTAATGTGTTTTAAAGCTTTGAAAAGTTACTCTGTTTAAGAATAACTTGGCCTTTTAATGACATTGAGGGTAAAGAATCTAAAGAAAAGATGGACCCATTTTTATCTCTTACCAGCTTTAAGCCTTGGCCAATTATTTCTACTTCTGTTCCTGAAATTCCTCTGTTTAAATGTCTCTCCTTTAACTAAATGTAATGATGTGTGTAACAAGCATCTTTTGTGGAGAGGTATCTTTCTTCTCTTCCTCATCAGTATTATCATTTGATGTGCCCTGTGCAAGGCATGCGAGGAAGTTCTACCAAAGTGGAAGCCGTGGCCAGCACTTCACCTCTTCCTCGGGGGCCACTGGCTTTACATATTTCTATTGATTTTTGTTATAACGCTACTAGAGGCCCGGTACACAAAATTTGTGTGCTGGGCGGGGGGGTCCCTCAGCCCCACCTGACCTGTGCCCTCTCGCAGTCCGGGAGCCCTTGGGGGATGTCTGACTGATGGCTCAGGCCCACTCCCCACGGGGAACAACAGTCGGACATCCTTAGCGCTGTCACGGAGGCAGGATAGGCTCCTGCCACCGCCTCTGCACTCACCAGCCATGAACCCAGCTTCTGGCTGAGTGGCACTTCCCCTGGGGGAGTGCACTGACCACCAGGGGACAGCTCCTGTATTGAGTGTCTGCCCCTTGGTGGTCAGTGCATGTCATAGCGACCAGTCCTTTGGCCGTTCGGTCGATTTGCTTATTAGCCTTTTATTATATAGGATTGTGTTTCTGCATCATGCTGTATTTTAAGTGGTCGAAATTGTATAGTATTAGGTCTGCTTTAGACATTTACACTTCAAGTGTAATCAATTTAAAAAATGGTAAAATGAAAATATTCTATAAAAATTAAATATATATTGTACAGGTTAATTTAGCAGCTATCTAAAGTTCTAAAATAATACGGTTTTCAGTGTTGAGATTTAAAACAGATTTCCACTTATATCTTTTTTTTTTTTTTAATATATTTTATTGATTTTTACAGAGAGGAAGGGAGAGGGATAGAGAGCTAAGAACATCGATGAGAGAGAAACATCGATCAGCTGCCTCCTGCACACTCCCCACTGGAGAGTGCCCGCAACCAAGATACATGCCCTTGACTGGAATCAAACCTGGGACCCTTGAGTCCGCAGGCTGACGCTCTATCCACTGAGCCAAACCGGCTAGGGCTCCACTTATATCTTGTGTAATATAAAATTAATGGGTGTTCCTATATTTATGTTTTTAAAATGCATCTTAAGTACCAGCCTTATTAAGAAGTAGGTTTTGTTTTTTGCACTTTTCTGAGGTTTTGGCATTTCCGTTTTTTGGAGTGTGAGGAGAGAGATGTAAGTTTCTGCATACAATTGAAAAGAATTCCACTGAGAATGAAATTACAATTACATGTAACTACATGGACATTTCATTTTTTAAACCTCTTTCAACTCTTTGAATGACTAGGAATGTAAAGATTTTCATGTTTCTAACTTTAGGTAACAGTTTATAACATTTAGAGGTTAATAGGCATCCTTCTTGTCACCCGGAACTCAGCACCGTGCCTCTGTCCTGGAGGGGCTCCTGTCGCACAGTTCAGACTCCACGTGGTTAAAGGCACTGTTGTTACCAATGAGAAGTCGATTTTACTTTTCTACATTATCACTTAGAGCTTTAAGTAAAAGCGATCTAATTGCTACATTTCCTTCAAGAAGCCCACCCATAATTTAATTGAGAAATAAACTGACAGGCTGATTTCACTTATGATTTTGGTTATGATCTCCTGTCATTGGCTTGTCTTCAGTTGTCTTAACCAGGACTAAGTATGTACGGAAAGGCCCCATTGATTCCTACACTGGCTTTTATGCAATTTGTATATATTTCAACTCTTCTCCACTTTGTTAAAGGCTTAGGTGAAAAGTTTGTTAGGATTATTTTATGTTTCTGCTGAATACATCAGGATTTAACAAGTGGAAAAAACATTTCTTCCCTTCCATTTTCTTGCATCCTCCTCTTGGAATAAGATCTGAAACTTTTGAGCTAAAATTTCCATTGCTTTTAGGTAATAGCTATTTGTGCACCCATGATTTTGAGACTTTGTAGCAATACTGTGATGTTGTGCAGGATCTTTCTCCTCAATGCCAACATCTGGCTTTGACTTTTGGATGGATATTCATTGGTTTGAAACAACTTCATTGGTTTAAAACAGCCTGTACAATAAATACTGTTATTTGAGGCACTAGTGGTTTTTATGCTTCCCCAGAACATTTTCATTTGAAAAGCACTTGACCTGGGACCCTGAAGTCCATTCAAGTTTGGGTAAATAGGAAGTATTGCAAACAAAACAAATCACTAGACTTAATGTACTAGTCATCAGAGCCAGTTCTTTAGTGCCAGGAGAAAGTTGCTCAACCAGATCTGAACTGCTCTCCTGCATTTTACCCAGGTTGTATTACATTGATGTCTGTTGATGAGGGCTGGCTAAGGGCAAGGCTGTGAACTTGGTATGATTGTTACTGGTTAATTGAGGTTTTCTTAGATACTTCATACCTTAAAAAAGAACACTAGGGAATTATTTTGTTCTTTGCTGTCATAAACCATAATTTTAATCTGCTAAAACAAGTTTATTATTAATTCTTCAGTCATTTAGATATTCTAAATCCTAATTATGCCAAATACAGACAAATTTAAGTGTTATTTTAAACTAAGACAAAACTCTTACATAGAAATATAATTGTGTACTCATCTCCTTCGAGTACAATATTTATATATTGTATTCCCAAAGGAACCAAATATTTTGAGTATGTATTAAGTTTGTTTTTAAGCGACATCCTACCTAGATTTTTAAAAGTTTTTATGTAAACAAAAGAATATGTACCCAGATGTTAGTGACAATTATGTCACCTTTTGATCATTCCTTAATTGGTCATAGGCAAAGGCTTAGAGAATAGAATGAGAGACTGATTATTGTTTTTAAATTTTTGGTATATTTAATATAAATATGCTAACAAATTACTGAATAGTTAATTATTAGGATATATGTATATGTATATGTATATATTCTAAGTAATTGTTGACCTTGTTTTCTTTGTAGCTATCTTAAAAAGGACTTTGATCACAAACTTCATATCTTTGATCTTAAACTAACTTTTATCCTTGCCTCTGTCCCCTCCCTCCTAAGAAGTTACTTTTTGTTTCCTTAACATCTAGTTTTCTAATTCATCTCCTTTGTTTTATGGCAGTGTTTTATTTACCTTTCAGAAATAGTTCTGAGACTTTCTCTACAGGAAGAGTTAGATCCAGAATCCTTTTTTTGGTTTGTTTTTGGTAATTTAATGCAGATATATTGGAAAATATAGTAGGCAGAAAGATTTAAAATGCATCTATTGTCCCTCCACCTGACAACACCTGTTAACATTTTGGTGCATATCCTTTCAGCCGTACTTAAACACACACACGCACACACACCTTTATGTAGTCATTGTAATAAGAAATGATATACTCATGTTTAATATTACTATTATGTTTCTAAAATTTGGATCCAGTTTCAGATGCCTAAAAACATCTTACTTCTGTTAATAATGACTTACAGAATTGTTTATCTTTTGAATTAAACTGTGTAATTTTTATTTTGGTACATTTTTGATATCAAGGTTATTCAGTGGAATGCCATGTTGGTCTGTTTATTAGATAATAATGTTATTCCTTTTATTTAAGCAAGTCAGCCTGCAGAATTTGACATCCCAGTACAGAAGAAAAGTGTCTTTTTGTTCAGCCTTCTCTTAGTTAATTTTGTAGCAATGTTTAAAGTACTTGCCATCTCTTGTAAAATAAGAATGAATTATGCATGAATAAAATAAGAAGTTACTAAATATGTCAACCTTTCCAGAAAATTAGGAAAATGTAGACCTCAAAAGCCTAATTTACCTTTCTATTTCCCAAATTCAGCATGTCCCAAATTACCATACAACAAGGAGACAAGCCCTTCTTTCTACTTTGCCAGTGAGTTGGGTTTTTTATACTAATTTTAATTAAACAGTAAAACACTTTTTAAAGAATACACGTTAAGGGAGTAGACTTGTTGAACAATATTTTCCTTGTGCCAGACAAAATTATTAAAGATATGTGTACCTGTAAATAATTCAGAGTTTTAAAAAAGAAATACAACCCAGCTCAAGAAAGCTGGGTTAAAAAATTCAGTTGTTTCAGAAATTAATTTTTGCATACCAAGCAAACATGTGACTGTTTTGGAAATGCCTAATATTTTCCTTGTGTGAAAAACTTTTCCTGAATCACTTTTTTTTTTAACCAAGCCACAAACTTAGTATTAATAACAAGAACAACCACAACTTTAAAACGTTAGTTTTTCTAATATTCTGGTAAGAAACTTATTCTTACAAGGATTTTGAATTGAATAGGATCGAAAAACTAGGGGGAAACATTTCTGTCTTTTTAATCTTTGCATGACTGAAGGTTTAAAGTATTTGTAGCAGACACCTTGGGATGTCTTGAGCTTAAGCAGGAAAGCATGACCTAGCAGAGATTATCTTTGGCAACACTAGCCCCCCTCACCTCCAGTGAAAAGGTAAATGATTGCTCCTAAAGGGAGAAAGTCTGGACAGAGCTTTCTTTTGGAAATGAACTTGGAAGGTGTGTTTTCTCTATTTGTAGGGCAATTTTTCAATAAAGCTAGTCATGGACTTTTGGTTTTGAATAGAATGGTACTAACTTGCAGAAATCCTTTAAGATTTTATGCCAGTAATGTGTCACTTTATGTGAAATATATATTCTAGGAAACATTAAAATTTTACTTTAGGGACTAAATTTTGAATTATTTTAGAATGACTCAATGTCTGAATCTACTAAGTGCCAGATTTTAAAAAGCATTTAGAAAACATTTGACTTAACATTTTCATTAATTGTGCCATGACTTGGTATCCAAAAATAAGTGTATAAGTATTATTTATGTGGTGCTAGGAAATGTTAACAAATTTAATCCTTTAATAGATGCTCTTTAAAAAGGAGTCTTGCTGTATATATACTATTAAAGGGAAACTGTATGTAATATAGTTATGTAAAAGACAGTGTCAGTAATTTTATTATGTACTCAGTTTGAGGTCTCAAATGTAGTTATCCTCACCATCTTACTGTCTCTGTTAGTTTTGGAGTCCGTTTCCTGGTAAGTGGCTAAAAGGTCCTTAATCATCACACCTAAGCATTAACTGCCTCAGCACAGCTTCTCTTAAAAAGGAGTGTCAGTCTTTTTAAAAGAAACTAACGGTGAGGCTGCTATTTGTAATTTAATTTGCTGCCATTTTGTCATGGTTTTGGTCTAGTTGACTTTTACTCCCCTTTTAAAGAGTTTTCCACTTTCCTTCACTTCCTTTTTTTCTAAATTTAACATCAAATTTAAAAGTTGGAAGATTTTGTTTTGCTTTGTTTAGTTTTTAAAGTTTTGCAGTGCTGGTGATCTCTCATGACTTGTGCATCCAAGGTCAAAATGAAAACACCTACTTGCAAATTACACACACAGGACTGAATTGGCTTCAGCAAGATCATGGCTTAGGAAACTATTTTTGGAATGTGGTTAGTGCTAGGAGGATTTGAAAAATCATGTCTTTATAGTTTTGAACATTTGTATCAAGGAACACAGCAAGTAGGAAACTTCTAGACCAGGTCTGGCCAAAAAAAGGGATACTTGTTTGGTTTGCTTGACCTAATTCAGGTTTCATGAAGGCAACTTAAGTTTTATAAATAGAAGTGTTTAACTGATGAATAACTAAATCAAGCTGTTGAAGAAAATTCATTTTATTGTTAACCTGTCTGAAATCTTTAGCTAAATTAATGAGCATGTATAATTAAAGCAGTTAAATGATACACTTAGTAACCCTCAGAACTTACTGCCCTTTGCTCTCCACTTCTTTTTCTCAGATTCTGTTATATTTTTTTTCTCATTTACTCTACATTGGTTCCCTTTCTCTTGTCTCTTTTTTTTTTTTATACTTTTAAAAATATATATATTTTATTGATTTTTTACAGAGAGAAAGGGAGAGGGATAGAGAGTGAGAAACATCGATCAGCTGCCTCCTGCACACCCCCTGCTGGGGATATACCCGCAACCAAGGTACATGCCCTTGACCGGAATTGAACCTGGGACCCTTCAATCCGCAGGCCGACACTCTATCCACTGAGCCAAACTGGTTAGGGCTCTCTTGTCTCTTTTCTTTCCAGTTATTTCCCCCCTCAGCCTTTTTTTTTTTAATCCTCACCTGAGGATATGTTCATGTATTTTTTAATTGATTTGAGAGAGAGGGAGGGACAGAGAAACATTGATGTGAGAGAGAAACATCAATTAGTTGCCGCCAGTACATGCCTTGACCAGGGATCAAAACCAAAACAAGGGCATGTGGCCTGATCTGGGATCTAGCCCACAACATTTTGGTGGAAGGGACAATGCTCCAACCAACTGAGCCACCCTCTCAGGCTTTTAATTTTCCTTCTGTCCATCTTTTTTTGGTCTCATTCTTCTGGCCTTTCAAGGAACCAAACTACAGGTTGTCCCCCAAAAATGTACACACACTTTAACAGCTGATAGCTCAATTTTGAAAATGAAATGTATTTTAATAAGGACTGCTTTATAATTATTCAAAGTGTGTGTCCATTTTTGGGAGGAACACCCTATATATTTTTGTTGTTATTTGTATTGAATTAATTAGCTAGCCACTCAGTTTTTGTATTTGAGGAAGAAAAGGAGTTCATGGATAAGGTACTTGCTTTATATCTTTTAAGCAAGGAGATGACCAAATGAAAATATTTCTAATTAAACTTTAAATTTTATTTGCAGCTTATGAACTATAGATTATATCTACTTGATTTTTATTGTATACATTCTAGTTTACCGGTGTTTAGGGTAGGAAAATAAAACATTTTTATTTTAAAAAATGTTTTTATTGATTTCAGAGAGGAACAGAGAGGGAGAGATAAAAACACCAAGGATGAGAGAGAATCAGTGATCAGCTGCCTCCTTCACGCCCCACACAGGATTGAGCCCCTGCCCCAGGCATGTGCCCTGACCGTGAATTCGATCCGTGACTTTCTGGTTCATAGGTTGATGCTCAACCACTGAGCCACACCGGCCAGTCAGGATGGGTTGTTTTTTTTTTTTTTAAAGCAAAAACCTATGTGGGTGTACACAGATTAGTTGAAGTATAGTACTTTGAAGGCAGATGAGATATAGATTTGATTACTTTATAGGCTTTAAATAATTGGTAAACTATCACAGAGATGCCCTTTAAAAATGTATAGTAAAATATATTTTATCTTTAATTTTCTTCAAATAATTTCAAGATTTTAAATATTTTTCTAATTGATGAATAATAATTATCAGACTTTATGGGCACAGTCTCTTTGTAATGGTCATGCTAGAGTTTGTGTTTTTATTGTTACTTTTAATTTTCTTAATACATTGGTTATAAGATAATTAAAAGTAAAATTTAAAACTTTTTAGTACAAAAATTTCTTGAACAAATAAAGTTTATAAAAATAGGAACTCTGAGATTCTGTACTCTATGAGATCTCATGAATAGAATTTGGGATTAGGGATTGCTTTTCCCCAGACAGCCTTGGTATTGCTGCAAATGAAACATTTGAGAAGCTTGGAGGCAGGGAGTGTGAGTGACTAGACGTCGCTGTCCAATAGGACGTCCTGTGGTGATGGTGTAGTGCTGTCTCACCAGCCACTTGCTGCATGTGGCTGTTTTAGTCATTTAAAAATAAATTTGAGAGGCGGTTGGAGGGTATGGAGGAAAAGGGACATCTGTAATACTTTCAACAATAAAATAAAGATAAATTAAAAATAAAATGAATACATTTGAAAAATAAGTAATATTTTTACAAGAACAAAGATTAGAAATTTATGTCAAATCTTTTAGTCCAAGTCCATGCCTAGATAATTTGAGGGGATCTGAAAGTCAGCTTACTGAGTGTGCTGGTGAAGAATGGCCTGTAATAAGCCCGTCAATGAGGAGAAAGACTACTTTCATAGACTTTCGAAGTAGGAAAGCAGTTAGCACATTATTTTTCCTGGATCCCAGAAAACAGTCACTGACTCTTTTTAAAGAAAACACCCAGAGAAATATGATATTGTATGTCAGCTATACTTAAATTAAAAAAAAAAAAAAAGTCTGTTAAAAAGAGGATCAAAATACACCCAGAAAATGTTACCACGGTTTTCCTTGTTAATATGTTTCAATGTACGGTAACTCTTACAAGTTAGGGAAATTTCCCAATCTATAAACGAAAGTGTTTTCTTTGTTTAATCTTCTCTGGCACACCCTCCTGCCCCCTGTGGTGTTGGCAGTTGGATGCACAGGTGGTCCTAGCACTGGCTCTTTGCCTTGCCCTTGCCTCTTTTAAAAGATACATATGCAGTTGGAGAGAGGACCAGTTGGGCTGGAATGTTGGTGGCCCTTGGCCCTACAAGGTCAAGCATTCCAGAATTGCTTTGTGTGTCTAATCCTCTGCATAACATTGACGTGGGACTCACCCAGAGGTATTTATCCTGGTGACCCTCACAGCCTTGCCTGTTAGAATACTGGAGTTAGGGTGCCTGATCCCAAAGCAGTGCTTGCTTCAGCCCCCTATCTGTCTGTGTATGTTTGGGCTTGGCTTCTCAGGGATCTTAGGAGGAATTTGAGAGAAGGCTGGGAGCCACAGGTTGCTAGAACGCTGTCCTCTGCTCATTGACACGTCATGATTTGTGTTTGTATCAGTTTGCTGTTGATAGTCACAAAGCAATTAACCCTTCTTACTGTGCTTTTGATTCTCAAATTGCTCTTTTAGAAAGAGGTGAATAGATGCATCTATACCTAATCTCCCTGTTTTATACCAAGATATGGTTCATGCTAAGATTCACAAAGAACTGGCTTTGAGTTCTTATCTTTAATGAACATGTTTTTACTTAAGTTGGCTCATCATGTTTTCTCTGAAGTTACTCTGACTAGTAACATTCTTTCTAAAGGCGGAGGTGCTTTGAAGAGACTCCATTTTCTACATAGTTTAGGTAGTTCTATACTGGATTCTTATCAAGCAAGATGAGAGATTGCTGAACAGGGAGGGCCCAGGTGGCTTCTGTGAACAACTGAGAATTGTGGTCATTGGCCCTAAAGATAGAGCCTTGTCTTTGCTACATTCCTTATCCAGCCCCTCAGTCCCAGTCTGTGCCCATGGGACACTGCCGCAGCTCCAGGGCAGTAGCATGGTGAGGTTAGCCAGATGATGGCCTTGAGCTAAAGTGCGTGTGCGTGTGCGTGCGTGCGTGTGTGTGTGTGTGTGTGTTGCGGGGGGGCGGGGTGGGGAATATTGTTTGAATTGTTTCTGCCTTTGTTAAGTTACCTTTTCAGGAAAACCAGTAATTGTTTTAAGAATAAATTTAAACTATATAATGTGTACAGTTGTGTTACCAGAAATAAAATGTTAATCTGATTGTTAAGCAATAACTTCATACTTAATTTTTCATGATAATTGATGGTTAAATGAAGTCAAATATAGAGATTGGTAACAACATAAGTTAGGCCTTGAGCATCAAGAAAGCTCATTTGGCGAGGCATAAGGAGCAGTTGTACACACTCCCTTTTTTTTCACTTCAGTTTCCACTGGCTCCCTTGCTCAGCAGTATGCGCACCCTAATGCTACCCTGCACCCACATACTCCACATCCTCAGCCTTCAGCCACCCCCACTGGACAGCAGCAAAGCCAACATGGTGGAAGTCACCCTGCACCCAGCCCCGTCCAGGTGAGGAGAGATCCAGAGGTCTCCATGGCGTTGCTTCCTCTTCTGTGCTAAGTGTTTCTTCTGTGCCAGGATTGGGGCCTGGGACTACGTGATCAGAACACCTAGCAGCCCAGCACTGCCAGTGTGCACTCTGCAGACTATGCCCCTGGGGCTGGTTTTAAGTCACATTAAGAGAGATAATAAGAATAAACATCAATATTTAAAAATCTAATTTAACATAGAGTAAGGAATTTGCTTGGGACTTTTTTTTTTAATTCCCACTGTTTATATGATGAGTTTTCTTGTTTCTTTAGTCACGTTTGTTAACGGAGGTGGTTGGGTATTTCTGACATCTGTTGGCTCCGTGGGCAGTGGTCTTGCTTCACCTCGGCCACGCTGAGATGGGGCTTATCCCAGAAAGGAGGTCTCTGAATGGGTCCCACCCTCTCTTAGCTCCCTGCTGTTCTCCTGTGCTTGCCATTCCCGCCCCCTAGATGCGCCAGGTGGAGCCCATTTTCATGCACAAGGCTCAGCTTTTGTGCGGCCCTTAACTGTTTTTCATGAAAAAGGTGGTTTGCTTAATTAATTCTTTCTGTCACTTTGCAGCACCATCAGCACCAAGCCGCCCAGGCTCTCCACCTGGCGGGTCCGCAGCAGCAGTCAGCCATTTACCACGCGGGGCTCGCACCAACCCCGCCGTCCATGACACCTGCTTCCAACACGCAGTCGCCACAGAACAGTTTCCCAGCAGCACAGCAGACAGTCTTCACAATCCACCCTTCTCATGTCCAGCCGGCGTACACCAACCCGCCCCACATGGCCCACGTACCTCAGGTAAATCAGCTTTAGCCAACTTTCTGTGAAGACCAAGTAGAATAGGAAGGTTATCAGCTAAGCAGCCAAGAGCCGGATGCTCTCCAGGCTAGGAAACCCTGTGTGATTTGCCTGTCTCCCTTCTCCCGCTCAAATACACGTGATCTGGCCCTAAATGGATGTTTGTGTGGTTTTGTAATGGGGTCAGTGAAGTTGCTGATTGGTCAGTCCTTTAACGTTTTCCAGCTGAGACCGAGACCATATAAATATCTTTGACTCTGGAATGCAACCCGGTCCTCCTTCCCTTCCTGTGTCTGCTTTCTGTGTTTAAATAGCTTCATTGAGATATATATGTATGTCTCCATACATATACTCTCTCTCTCACACACATACACTGTCTCTCTCTCCCTCTCTCTCTCTCTCTCTCCCTCCCTCTCTCTCTCTCTCACACACACACACACACACACACAATGAGGTGTGTGGCAGGGAGGATGAACCTTCACAAATTCTTAACTCTCTGGCTACCCTGGGCCTGTCAGCTTGAATGTTGGTCACATGGATCCAGAGAAATCTCTCCTGTTTTCTCTGGCTGTCCATACATTCGTCTTGACCATGTGTTGAACTGCTTGAGCGGCTTGCCCTTGTACATCGGTGCCGTGTAACGAGAGGCTGAGAGCACCCAGGTGTTCGCATTTTTCTTAAAGAGCAGCTCTGGAAGCACTTTGGAGCTCATCTCCAGTGTACACTTTAAAGGTTGGAAGGTGCGGTTGCTGTCTCAGTGGTTGCTGTTTGCATCAGCTGCTGACAAAAGTCCGATGCTATCCAGGGCCAAGTTGGGTTGTCGTAAGGAGGAAGAGGACCTGCACTGAAGTTGGGCTCTAACACTGTCCTTGAGGCCCGCCCTGGAGCTGTGGAAGGCGAATTGGCTGTATTCGATGTCTCTTTTTGCTGCTTTCATAACAGCACTTAGGTGGGATTAGACTAGACTGCCTCACTGAGCTCCAGTTCATGTCCAAGTGCACCACTGAGGCTCTGGTGTGTGGGGCTGGAGAGGACACTCAGTGGCGCTCTCGGGTGGCCTTGTCATAGACCCACAGCTCTGGGAGTTGGCGCAGTGTGGCACTGCAGCGGATGGTTTGCTGTGGATGTGGGGCGGGATTGCTGTGGTCAGTGTGGGCCAGCGTGGTTGGTTGGCTGGATCAGGAGCTTCATGAGAGCGGGGTCCTGTAGATGTCGAGCAGAGGCTGGTGGCTAAGTAGGTGTGTGAATATAGGTTGGGGTTCCTAAAACCTCACTTGTGTGTTTTTGTGCTGAAAGAGCAAAATGGATTAACACAGCGAAGCCAGATACGCCATGGGCCCTTTTGAAAATGTAAGATAATGAAAATAGCATTTCCTTCAGGCTTATCAGGGTCTGGAATTGTGCACGGTGTCGAAAGGGCTCTTCCTGGCCCTGCCAAAACCTTCCCAACTTGACAGTGAGACCAGGTCGAACTCACTGTCACTCGGTACAGGGACACGGGGCTGGACGGACTGTTTCTTCCTCTCCCCATCTCACTGGCGCCATTCCCTGCAACCTCCCCTTCCTCCTACTCCATCAGCGTCTCTTTCAGCAGAGCAGATTCTCTCCTCACTGCCCTGGCTCCGTCCCCACTGAGAGTGCTGGTGAGCAGGCAGGAAGTAGAAGGGCTGGGTGGGGGGCAAACAAGAAGAGTAATCCACGGAACAGAATTTGACAAGTCTCCACTTATAAAGTAATAATCTGCTTTCCTATTTGAAAGGAACAGCCTTTGTAAAACTACTTCAGGTCCCTCATGGAAGCCAGATTCTCAAGCGTGATTGCTTCTCGCCTGTTACGTTGGACAGGTGGCCCTGGGGTCTGAGCTTTGTATAGAATCACGTGATCGGAAATGAAGGCTCGGACACCACAGTCCTGATTCTCCCCGTGCTCAGTGGGTGTCTGTCCCCTCAGCCTTGCAGGATCGCTCTGCTAAAGGGCGAAGCATGTCTGTAGGTCAATTGATGTCCCACTAGGGAGTGTCCCCAGAGAAAAGAAGGGGCCCTGAGGGCCCACTGTTGCCCTTTCCTGAGAGCCCCAGCCCCTGAAAGGAACACAGTTAACATGTTGTTTAAGCTGGAGATGTTGCCTGTATGCGTAAAAGAGCTCTCTGTTTCAGGCTCATGTACAGTCAGGAATGGTTCCTTCTCATCCAACTGCCCATGCGCCAATGATGCTAATGACGACACAGCCACCCGGCGGTCCCCAGGCCGCCCTCGCTCAAAGTGCACTACAGCCCATTCCAGTCTCGACAACAGCGCATTTCCCCTATATGACGCACCCTTCAGGTGAGGCGTGTGTGTGCAGGGGCCGCCGGGCACCCCAAGCATTCTGCTCGCACAGGTCGAATGGCAGGCAGAGCCAGCGCTTCAAACCCTGCATTTGAAAACTAGCAAGACCCGTCAGTGTGCACAGTAGGGACTGTGACGATCAGTCAGTGTCAGGGCCTGAGGCTCCGGGCCGAGTCTGTGTGTGTTCTGATGGTCCAGGTTTGGCTTGAGGAGCAGCGGCAGCTGTGGAGCTGATGCTGCCTAGGACTCAGTTGGCCTTCCTTGTTACGACAGGCTGGGCAGGGCAGCGGTTTCCTTCCTGAGTCCCAAGTCTGCGTGGGGGTTACCACCATGATAGTTTGATCGTAGCTCTGGAGAATACTGCTGATGAGCAGTGCTGTGTGTGGATCGGCTCTGAGTGTAGCATTCGCTCCAGCCTGCACCCTGACAGGGAGAGGCCGTGATTGTGCTAACACTTGAGACTGCCATGGCGTTCCTCTGAAAGCAGGACTGGTGCTTGGCTAATATTTGGGGAGGGGGTATGTTACAGCCTGTTTCTCTACCCCATGAGCAACAAGTCTTCTGGGAGTTTTATCTGAAGTGGTTTTACGTCTTACTGGTTTGTTCTACCCCTCTTTCCCCTCCTCCCCCTTTGGTGCAGATGGGAGGGGGAAGTGAACTAAATTTTGAGTCCTGTTCAGCTAGCACAAGGATAGTTTACAGTCATGTGCTGCAGAGACACTAGGCTGATGTGCGGTGTTGCCAGTTTTCTGTTTAAATATTCACTTTTCTTTTTTACAGTACAAGCCCACCACCAACAGCAGTTGTAAGGCTGCCCTGGAGGAACCGAAAGGCCAAATTCCCTCCTCCCTTCTACTGCTTCTACCAACTGGAAGCACAGAAAACTAGAATTTCATTTATTTTGTTTTTTAAAAATATATGTTGATTTCTTGTAACATCCAATAGGAATGCTAACAGTTCACTTGCAGTGGAAGATATTTGGACCGAGTAGAGGCATTTAGGAACTTGTGGGCTGTTCCAATTCCATATGCTGTTTCCGAGTCCCGCAAGTACCCCAGCTCTGCTTGCTCAAACTGGAAGTTATTTATTTTTTAATAACCCTCAAAAGTCATGTATACATCAGCTAGCAAAAGTAACAAGAGTGATTCTTGCTGCTATTACTGCTAAAAAAAAAAAAAAATCAAGACTTGGAACACCCTTTTACTAAACTTGACAAAGTTTCAGTAAATTCTTACCGTCAAACTGACGGATTATTATTTATAAATCAAGTTTGATGAAGTGATCACTGTCTACAGTGGTTCAACTTTTAAGTTAAGGGAAAAACTTTTACTTTGTAGATAATATAAAATAAAAACTTAAAAAAAAAATTAAAAAATAAAAAAAGTTTTAAAAACTGATATCCAGTTAGTGTGTGTTTGTATAAGCTACTAGTTAATACCAAGGCAGGAAGGCTGTATTTTCTTAATATCCTGGAAGGTTAGTTGTCAAATGATTTTTCTTCTTCACCTTTAGTTCTGGTTCAAGGTATCTCTAGGAAAAGACAAGACTGAGATATTCTCTTTGGTGGATAGAGGTCCGCTTCAGAAGGAGGAAGGCTGGCCAGAGTTGGGCAGCATTGAAACTCCACACCCTCAGCCTGACGCTGATTCTGTAAGCTTCCTTTTCAATCCTCCTGAACCCAAATGAATGTCCTTAGCCAGGGGTCCTGACTCAGACATCTGTCTGTTTTACCAGTAGGGGGCAGGAGATACTTTTTAAAAAGCTGTGAATAAGATACACCTGAAACTGATATATGTCAACTGTAATTGAAAAATAATTCATTTTTTAAAAAAGAAAATTAAAACTGATAATCCAGAGGGCAGAAGAGGTGCAGTGATGTACAAAGCAGTTTACGGCTATAGACTCATAAGCACTTGTTAATGTCCTCGATTTATGGGAGGAGAACAACGGGAAAAGCAAGTGTTTGCGCAGGGCAGCAATTTCAGAGACCATAGTCATAATACACAGAGCTTTTAGATATTGTTGGCAACAAATCAATATTCTGAAAACATTTTTTAATTCACATATAGCAATTTATACATTATAGCAAAATTTGTTATTCAAGAATAAGTTACTTGTACAGTACATAAACAATATATAACAATTTGCCAAATACCTTCTTCTGCCTGTAATGATAAAAGATTGAACCCATTTTCTGTGTTGTTACAATGTGTGGCTTATTCCAGCCCAACACTGGGTGACAGATGTGTCCTTGTTAGAGGCAGTGGAAATATACAAGTTCCTCTAACCTGTGGGAGATGTTAGAGCTCACATGACATTTGCAATAGGAGAGTTAGCCCTGAATAGAAGCATGAAGGAATCTTAGGCAACCCTTAGGGAAGGGAAGAGTTCAAGGCCTTGATTTTATATATAAAAATAGTGTTTTGTGGTCTAAGATTTTAATGATTGCTATTCCTTTTTCCTACACGGTCCAGAAATGATCAGAGGCAGAAGATTTATACCAGATAAAGCCATATGGATTGCTGGTCTAAAATTCAAGGCAGGTTAGTTGACTTAATTCTTTGGTGCTGGTGACTGTTAGTTTGTAAAAGTTCGTTAAAGTCAGATTCAGGAGGTGACGGTGCTGAGAGCAGTCCCCTGGCTGTTGTCTGGTTGGAGAGAACTGCAGTGTTCGCAGTACTTACTGTCCCTTTGGCACTCACAGCCCGGCTTTCTGTGGAGGTGCTGGCTTGGCCTCTTGAGGCCAGCGGTGGTCACATCAGGACTGGAAGGAGGGTGGCATGTGGGCTAGCTACGGCCAGCAGGGTCACTGTGAGGGCATCAGCCCAGGGACCCACTGCTCCCTCTTCTCCAGCTCTACCTGCTCTAGCAGAAAAGAGAGGCCTGGCTTAGGGTCACTCCTTCCCAGCTGTGGCGGGGCTTTCTGTTGGGATGTATTTGAGGTGTCCTGGTAACTCAGACACATTTGGAAAGGAAATATTTTCCTTGAACATTTATACTGGAGCAGCCTGGAGCGGTGACTTCCAGCTCTCTGTTAGAATCTGAGCTGGTACTTGGCAGCCAGTGGGTCAGAGCTGAGCCACTAGTTTGCTGCCTCTTGGTACTACCTGAGACGTCTGTGCTGAGACTGCTTAGAAGTGGGTGCCCCTGGCTTGAAGATGTCATAGCCCAGATGTGGAGGGAGGGGGTAGGTGTGTTTCATTGTATAATTTGCCCTTTTTCTGCACCAGTGACTTGTGAGCATGGACTTTCTGTGATGAGCTTTATCTTTTAAGAGACATTCAAAATAGTGCGTGCTCCTCTGGTTCCCGCTTTGCTTAGCGAAACCTGCTTGGTATGTAGAAAAAAAGTGTCCTTAGAAATGGACCAAAAATTTGGATCGGGGTTGGATCTGCTTTACAACCTGTGGAAACACCCAGGAGTGTTGGTTTTTAAAAGTAAAAGTGAAGAGGTGGTTAGTTGATGCCCCGCGCGC